TGTGGACAGGCGGGCACGTGACACGGAGCTGCCGAACCCGGACTCAATCTGGAGGGCATGAGGGGCCGGCGGGGGGCGCCAACGGGGCTGGATCTGCATTTTAGGGTGATGCTCCTGGTGCCCGCTGCCCGGCGGGAGATGGGCTGGGAGGGCCGGTAAGAGGCAGATCTGGCAAAGCCTCCGGGCCGGGAGGGAGGGCGCGGGCGCCGGGTGGGTGCCCTACCTGTGCAAGGCGGAGAAGAGGCTGCTGGGGCTCAGCAGCAGCGGCCCCCGGGGCAGCACCGTGCCCCGCTCGTTGACCCAGTGCAGGTAACCCCTCGTCATGTCCGCCATCCCGATGGCACGCGCAGAGCAGTAGAGAAACTTGTATCCGTTTCTGAAAGAGACAGAACGTTCACGCTTGAGGCAGCACGCGACGAAAACTCGCTGCCCCCTCAAACCCTGAGCTGCTCTGCTTCGCGAAGAACAGCATCGGGCAAGCTCCCTTGCCCGTGAAAGGCCACACCCTGAAAACTCCAGCTACGAAGGCACTTCGCTGTCACCTACGAAGCACCACCTCGTTTAATCCTCAGGGAAAATCATTCAGTAGGTATTTTGCCCCTGCTTTACCATCAACCTGGCTGACCTGCCTGCACCTGTGCTGGTCACGCTCCCCAGTCCCTGCTCCCAGCTAAGGGCCACCAGCTGCCAACTTGCAGGGCTCACGCCAGGTCTGCACCTATGCCCCTTACACACGTAACACCAAATCCCTCCCGTCCGCTGGACAGTTCGTCGGCACACAAATATATTCTAACCTCTCCCATCTCAGCCTAAAAACCAGCCAAGCCAAAATCACCACCAAAAACGCCCTCTCCAGGTCAAATCCCATTTCTCTGTTCTCCTTTGCACCAAAATTCTTTCCAACAGCTATGTATCCACACTGACTCCCTCCCTCTCCCCCCGTTTCCTGCCTCTCGCCTCCATCAAGGTCACCTGTGCTGCCACCTTGCCAAATCCAGGCATCGCTTCTTGATGCTCATGTGAGCAGACGTCCCGGTTGCCTCTGACACAGGTGGTCATGCCTCCCCCAGCGCCCCTTCGTCCCCTGGCTTCCGGGACCCGATTTTCCTGGTTGCTCCTCCTTACCAGCCGTTTCTCCCCAGACAAGTTGCCTTGGTTCTACATGTCCCAGCCTCTAAATGCGAAGCTGCCCTTGGGGTCCTAGGCCTCATTTAGTCTCACCGCCCTCACTCCCAGGGGACCTCACCCACTTCCGTGCCTTTAAACGCCACATCTAAACTGAGGCAGTGGTAAACATCTGTGACACAGTGATGTGCTAAGTACATATTTGGTCTTCATCCGGGTTCCCGGCACAGAGCTGCTAAACCCCTTGGGGTTTCCTGAGTGACAGGAATAAGAGGAACATCTTGCGTTATTCATAACGGGTGCCTTTTACCCATACCTGGGTTTACGTTACTGAGGTGACTCGTGAAGGAGGGGGGCTGGACGCCAGAGGAACCAACCATGCAATCAGAGGACTGGAACTTTCAGCTCATCCCCCAAATTCTGGAAAGGAGTGAGGGCTGGAGACAGTGCAATCACCAGCGGCCAGTGATGTAATCCATCACGTCTAAGCAATGAAGCCTCCGTAAAGCCCTGAATGGTGGGTTTTGGAGAGCTTCCAGTTGGGGGATGGATCCAGGTGCCAAGAGGGTGACACATCTCGACTCCATTGTGGCAGGGCCCTTCCGGACCACGCCCTGGTGCTCCTCATCTAGCAGTTCATCTGCATCCTTTATAACAAACTGGTGAAAGTGTTTGCCTAAATTCTGTGAGCCGTCATAGCAAATCTCCAAACCTGAGGAGGGGCTGTGGGAACTCCTGATTTATAGCTAAGCTGAGCAGCAGTGTGGGCAAGCTGGAGACCTGCTACTTACTGCTAGGGTGTGGCGCAGGTGGCCTTG